AGTTGTGTGGTGGTGAGTTGCTGCTAAATGTGAGAGAAATAAGGTTGAACACTGTGAAAGCCACTACATGGCTACCAGCCTCCTCCCAGTAGACTCAAATCAAGGAAAAGCTGTAAGAGAACTACCACTCCTCTTGGTATCCCTCCAGCAACAGCAAGGGTATCCCTCTGGGCAGCTAAATCAGGAAATCCCAACTGGATGGCCCCTCACAAGGGTCTTCCTCCAGGGGCAAACCAAGAATGGGCAACCTGGAAGTCCTTGAACAGGCTCAGAAGCAGAGTGGGCAGATCAAAAGACAACCTGGCAAAATGGCAGTACCTAAAGGAATCCCATACCTTGTGTGACTGTGGAGCAGAACACACAACTCTGCATCTGTATACTTGTCCATTGTGCCCTGCCTCATGTACAGAGGAGGAATTGTTGGAGGCTACAGACAATGCCATTGCTGTTGCCTGTTTTTGGTCAAAATATTTTTAGCCACCTGCATACCTTCTATTTTATCAGTTTTATACTAATTTATGCAATGCTTTTGATACGAAATAAATAAAAAGTACCCATAGAATCTAAAATCACAAAGATGTTCAACAGTCGTCAAGTGGAAATTCTATGTATATTGCTTAGTTATAAGTTCAGTGTAAAGAGAAAATTCAATGACTGGAAGAATGTTGTTTGTGCTTAAATGGAAAACTCTGCCCATAAATATTCTGTTAATGTTTACACAGTTCATAAGAGACAAAGGATTAGTTGAATTAGTTATATATGTCATGCATGCACCTAAGTTAATTTAAAAATTAATATCAGTGCTGAGATTAAGTATCTCTACAATAATTAATTTTGTTTACTAGTTTTATTTTAATTTTAAAAGGATTTCAAGGACACAACTAATAAAACCCATTTGAAGGGACTTAGTCCTTATTGAATTACTGGTCAAATGTACGTGGCCTTCAAAAGCTATAATGTGTTCCTGTGTTGTGTCTTTCAAATCTAACTTGGATGCACACTATACGGACCGAGTCCGAGATAGGAAAAGAGCCCATTGACACTTTTTTTGTTTACTCAGATGCAGGGGCAGCACTGGACTTTATCGTACAAGCCTGATGTTCCACTTCAGTTCCACTACTTCACTACTTTAATTATGGAAGCATGCTGGCTTTGTATCTATATCAAACTTACTCTGCATTAGAGCTGTAGGGCTGCTTTGGAAATCCATGGTTGCATTTTTTCTGCACCACCACCATAATGACATCTTCTGGTTTTTGCATGCCTTACCTTGCACATTCATATCTTTCAAAGTTTTTATTTGCTGTAATTTTGCAATTACAGGGGAAGTAATGGAGGGAGGGAGAGCTAGGTATTGGTCCTCTGAAATAATGCCTACTCACATTGTGTGACTAGCTGAGAAGTGGAACTGCAGCCATTGGAACTTTTTGCATATACATTCATTGTAGAAAAACAGCACACTTGATATGTATTGGTTGGTTTTATCACAAATTAAAAGGGGTGCTTCAGGAATGGGTGGGATTCAAACCACCTTCAGGAAAGGCACTGCATCATGTAGTGAGTAATGGCAAAAATTGTCATTATCCCATTAATACCACTATCAACCTTGTGTGAAAAACCTCTTAGAGAAAGCAGGGGAAATGCTTTCTTTTCCATGTTTCCTCAAGATTAGAGTTTTATTCCTCAAGAACAGCTGCTAGATCTGGTCAGCTCACGAAATCTACAATGAGTAACTAACTGTTCATGCAAATAATTTAAATAGGGTCATTGTATTAAGTTTGCATGCAAAAACCCAAATCTCTGCATTTATGTAGAAGTGATGACTAGGTTTGGATGACATTTCCAACTAGGATGTATGAAGGTGTAATTAAAGAAATGAATCCTAAAATGCACATCGTATATCTGCAGTTTCATATTAAAAATCCCCAACTGACCTTTTATCCTTTAATGAGAATCTCAGACACCTCCTGTTGAAATCTTTCCTTTCCCTAAATCAGTAATGCTTCTTGGATTCTTTTGTCTGAATAGGCTGAAATAAGCCAAAGTGTATGTTGCATTTCTTCATGCAAAAATTTCCAAAGCATTGGAAATGAAAGTGTCTGCTGAGCCTTGTTTTCACTAGATTTGCATAGTCTTTCCATGTTGCAATTAGCCACATATTTTATAAAACCTACTTACTATCATCTGCTGTAGTTATCTGTGCTATTATGTTATATACTTAATACAGTTTCTTCCCAATCTACTCTCACCCATTATTTGCTGAGTTTACTGTTAATGGCAATATGGAGTGTCAGAACTGAAATGTAAATCCTTATAAATGAGTTGCACATGAATCATTATGCTATTTGGATGAGATGATCCATCTGTATTCCATAGATTACGTTCCCAGATATATTCACAGCACTCCCACGTGCACCCCACTTTACTTTTTCATATTGAAACGTAATGTAAATAAAATTGCAGTCAATGATACCAATTTTATTGTAACCTTTCTCCTGTGTTTTAATATGTCAATCACTAAGACAATATTGCCAAAGCTTTCTATTCTTCACTATAGGTATTCATCTTAATTAAGAACCTTTGGAAAGGTTTTTGAAAATCCAAGTTAAAAACACAATTAAAATTAAGTGGCTTGTGGTGGTTAGAATGGTGGGAAAGTTTGTTCAAATTCAGTCTCAAGCTCAGTTCAGACATCTATTTGTGTCGAGCAATGGTTCGCAGCCTTTGGTCTTCCACATGTTTTGGATTTCAACTCCCAGAAATTCCAGCCAGCTTTCCAGCTGTTAGGAATTGTGGGAGCTGAAGTCCAAAACACCTGGAGGACCAAAGGTTAGGAACCACTGGTGTAGAGGAAGGGTCCAACATCACTCCTATATTCCCAAACTGTCCATTTTGCTGGAGTACACCTGTAAAGGATCTGTAATCGCATTCACATGAATGTAATTACAAGATTCACGTGAGCTTCGATATGGCAACATTTGCAGACACATGGAATTTTGTGACTGCATTCATGTAAATGTGGATTCAGCTTCTTTTCAAGACATTCACTGTCAACCATGGAGAGTCAATGAAAGGAGAAGGATTATGCATCTTCTATCATATGTTCCAACATTTCATAAATAAATACTGGGACACATGTGACCAAACAACATCAGAGTGTTGTCAAGAAAATATCTCTTTGGCTCCAATGGGAGCCTTTTTTCAATACAAATTGTAGACCTGGAAGCCTGATCCAGATTGTGAAAGCAGCTAGAGTCAAATGGTTACAGCTTTGTATCATCCCATGCTAAAGTTACTATGTGGGCTCAGTCTGTGGCAATACAATACAATTCTGATACCCATGAAACAGATTTCACCTATGGTTCACTCACTCATATCTGACAAAATACGTTTTCTCCAGAAATTTTCCGTGTTTCCATGGTAGGCTGAATGTTACCATAGAGCCATCCTGGAGGACCTCAAATATTCCTAGAGATAAATTTTCTATGGTAACTGTTGCAGAAGTCATTCATTTCAAAGGAGTTCACAATTATCCATGGCTTAGTATTTTTACAAGAAGTTTGGGAACATTTCCTCCACATATGCAAAATGTCCTATAATTTTTGTTTATAAAAACAATTCATCATCTTGCTAATTGCATGAATGCCATCATATTTCATGTAGTCCCCTGTTTATATGCATGTAAATGATAATTATTACATCACTTGCTGCTACCTGCAACATTTTATTTTTATTTTATTTATTTACTATTTACTATATTTATATCCCACTTTCTCTCACCCTGAAAGGGGCTCAAAATGGCTCACAGCAAAATGCCACATATACAAACAGGTAAAAAAGCAATACATTATATACAAAAATATAATAAATATTAGGCCTGGGTAACAACGGAAAAATTTGTTTCTAAAATCGATTTGTATTTGGGGGGTTTTTTTGTTTCGATATTTAAAATAATTACAAAATTTTCCTTTTTAAAAGTTCGATATTTACGAAATTTCGTAAATGGTAAAAAATTAACGAATCGATTTCCGAAACAATAACGAATCGATTCGTTAATGGCGGACGCGACCGCGAAATACGCTAAAAAACCTCCAAAACCTTCTGAAGCTTCCCTCTCCCTCTGTTGTTGACTGTTGGTGTGATATTATAATTTTTTTTCACTAATTAAACCATAAAACTGGCCCAGACATGCAGAAATAATAACGAAACGACCTCAAAACAATAACGAAACGAATACAATATCGAAATACGAAGCATTTACAAAACATTTTTGAAAATTCGTTTTTTTAATAATTGCTCCAGAATGGTTCGTTATCGTTTTGTAATTGAAAAAATTAATGAATTATTAACGAATTACGAATTAACGAAACGAAACCGCCCAGCCCTAATAAATATATATAAATAGTATAAACTGTTTAAAGCCATAAAACATTCCATAGCATCAGAAACCCTGAGAATAGAAAGGAGAAGATGGGATGAACAGAGCTTGTGTTTGAAGGAAAATAGAGAGGAATGACTAGATTCTGCTTTGAATGCTTAAACTAGGCGGGTATCTCAATGTAAAATTCCTTATTTGCGAAGTGAAATGACAAAGCTGTTAATGCTGTTTGCTTTATTTACAATATTTCCTAAATTAATTCCTTGGCAACATTGTACATGTAAATGTTTTAAATGAATATAACTTATTGGATTATCACTATAAAACATGTATGGTTTTCAGGAAAACAGAAATACTAAAACTTGCAAAGAAATCTCTTCTTTCTTTTTTCTTCATTAACAAGTTTATAGTGATGGTATTTAAAAGGAGAAAACCAAAGGTAGAAGAAATTACTTTTAAGACTATAACACCCCAAATCCTCCAATGCTGACTAAGGAAATCTAAGGGGAATTGTTTCAAACTGGTGAATTACTTTTCAAGGCTGACTTGATGTCTTTGACTCTCTCCTTCTTTCTTTCTCTTGAATTAGTCTAATCAAATCATTGTTGCTCTTTTATCCTAGGTGTGTGTGCTGGAGAGACAGATATTTGATTTCCTTGGTTATCAGTGGGCACCAATCCTGGCAAATTTTGTACACATTATTATAGTCATACTTGGCTTATTTGGAACCATCCAGTATAGACCTCGCTACATAACAGGGGTGAGTATCATTACTGTTCTTTCATTATCATTGTATTTGTCATATATGATAAAACTCAACATGAAAAATCGGGGAACGGGTGATGAGTTTATAACAGTTTTCTTTTGGAATCTGACAGATATATCATGTTTTCAGATATGCCTAGATAAATAGAAAATGTTTTAAGTGGTTCTTTTATAAAATCTGTGGGAGAAATTACCTTGTGACATGCAGAAATATTTGAACTGTACTCTAATGCTCTATACTAGAAAAGTTTAAATATTTGTGATATTTTTAGGTATCAAAAAGCAAGAATACAATTTGATTTGCTGCTGTGGCTTTGAAAAGAAAGATTAAAAATAAAAACTGCAAAGCTGAACACTCTTGATGATGTTAGTACATCTTGCAAGTCAGTCTGACATAGATCATGCAAAGAAATGCTACCCACATATGTATATATTTATTAATGTGATTAACAAACATAACATAATGCAATTCACAAACCTAATAAATAAATTAACAAACTGCATTGACTTCTTGAGTTGCTATAAACAAACATGAGCTACTCTTCTTGGTGCAACAGGTTAAACCCTTGTGCCGGCAGGACTGCAGACTGAAAGGTCAGCGGTTCAAATCCAGGGAGTTGGGTGAGCTCTCATCTGTCAGCTCCAACTTTCCATGTGGAGACATGAGAGAAGTCTCCCACAGGATGGTAAAACATCCAGGCATCTCCTGGGCAACATCCCTTGCAGACGGCCAATTCTATCACATGAGAAGTGACTTGCAGTTTCTCAAGTTGCTCCTCACATGAAAAAGTTGTTATATATTTTGTTAACATCTTTAAGAGGATGCTAGTGTTTTCTATTATCTTGTAGATTTTGTTGATGTGGCATTAAGTCTGTGGATCCAAATATGCTCTCTTACATTCTGGGAAGATGTGGCACCTGAACACAGACAGAAACAAATCAGGGAAGTTTTATTATGAGATTAAAAGTTCAGTATGACCCCAATCTGTGCTGTTTAAGCATCTCAGTAGGATGGCAGACTTATAGTTGCATGGGGATGGGTGACACATCTTCTGCCAGCAGAACCAAAGATGACACATACACCAGGTTGGGATATAAACTGGCCACAACTTGTTTATTGATTACAGGAACAGGGCCACTATGCATGGGTCCTGGATCAAAGATCAGGCAGCCCACTGCTGACCGATACCGCTTACCACGTCAGGGTGCTGCTAACATAATACTGGGCAAATGATTATGCAGCACCCCCGGTAACCACTGGATGCCCCCCCTTCCGATGGGGGGGGGAACTAAACAAACCAGATCTAGTGCCCAAGCCACATGCCAACCTGGAAGTTGTGATGGAAAACCAAAACATGACAACTATTAACATGAAACCAAAACATAGCCATTTTGCTGGGTGGGTGGGCTGGATCACCAAAGCAGGCCAAGTGCCTGCGCTAGCCTGGGGTGGCCTTAAAAAGGCTGCCGTGCTGGAATGGCAGCCGCCCTGGCCAATGAGGAGTCAGGGTAGGGCCTGCTGCTAATTGGCCAGTTGACCAAGCTGTGGGAAACTTTTCCACCACGCCAGGGGACTTCTGGGAGCAAGGCCCTTCATGGCCTGGAGGAGGGCGTCCACCACCACAACAGCCCCACCGGGTGAGTCAGGCAAGGCATTTCCTGAAGCTTATTGTAGAGTTTTGTTTGGTTTTTTTTTTTTGTAGGTCTGTGGTTGCTTTCTTCATGTACTGAAAATATCATCCTGTATGTATGCATTTATATTTATAAAGTTGCCAAAGTAGAATATGATAGTTTATTTAATTTAATAGTTTAATTAATATTACTTTGTTTAGATGTGGAGAGTACATTTTGCACTGGATAAAGTAAGAGATCAGTCAATTAAGTGGGTGATTCACAGATTACAAATATTGTCACTTGAGGAAAATGAAATCATTCTACTACCCTACCAGATCTTATAATTAGTGTGTTTACTATAACTAGTGTAATGGAAACAAGAGTACATTCTTCATACTCCAGCATAGCCAGACCTCTCTTCTGCAAGTTGACTACAGAGTGAGTGACACTGCAGGATGTGTGGATTCCTAGAGAGACCATATTAATCATATTGGGAAATAATACAATCCACCAAGGTAAAATCCACAAATGTGGAGTGTCAACTCTATTCTTTACAGTTGTGAATGTGGAGTGAACATGGTTTTAGCAATGTAGCAGCAAGTTCCTTTCTGATCTACATCTATGTACCCATGTATGATGTCCACAATTTAAAAAACTAAGCACACATACATTGGAGGGGTGAAGCCAGCTATCGCAATGCCACCATTATCACCATCCTATGTATGTGGACATTTGAAAAGATCTGTTGGAATGGAACATAAATACAGAAGTAACGTTTTAGTGAAATTGTATTGGATGGCAAACTGACCATGTACATTTTCTCCCGTGGGCCAGATTCTTCTCAGAGACCTTTCCTTGGTCAATACATTTTGTAGCACTGATTTAAACTGAGATCCAGAAAAGACAAAGAATTGACTTCCTAAATTCTGCAAATAGGATTGGCAAAAAGTCACAACAGACCTGATACGTATAATATATGATACTACGGTATTCGCCACCATTTGTGAGATTTGATATTTCACACATAATGTAAATTTATTTCTTATTTATACTGTAATATAAATGATGCTATGATATTCCCCCTCGATGGACTGTCACCTTGTCCTGGTGAGGGGGCTTGCGTGTTCCAAAGAACCTGTGGGCACAACAACTGGAGTCATGCACTCCCAGGAGTTGCCGTGGGGGAGGTTCCAGACCAAGCACAGTCCAAAGATTCAAAGACCTCAACGGCAGAACAGGCAGAGCATAACATGATACATGTTACAACAGCTGTAAAGGTGGAAGAAGGCTGCAACAGACTGGGAAGCCAAAGTCATTGTGTCAAACGACACCACCAGTGGAACCTCACTCTGAAGCACTCACTGGCATCAACAAATGACTCTTAACCCTCCGATTTGATCTTGCCAAAAACCAACAGGCAACCATCATAAGTGCCTATGCACCAACACTAGATGCTGATGAAGACATCAAGGAAAAATTTTACTGTCAGCTGGACACCGCCCTATCTGGGAGACCTAAGGAGGACAAAATCATCCTCCTGGGGGACTTTAATGCAAGAGTTGGGCGAGACTTCGACCTGTGTCCAGGGACCATAGGAAAAGATGGGGTTGGAAACAGCAACTCGAATGGCATCCTTCTTCTCACCAAATGTGCAGAACACAAACTTGTCATCACCAACATGCTCTTCCGCCAGAAAAACAAGTTCAAGACATCATGGAAGCACCTGCGGTCAAAGCATTGGCACCTCTTAGATTACGTAATCACACGTGCTAGAGAACGCTGTGACGTGCTCCTCACAAGAGCCATGACAGGTGCTGATGACTGCTGGACAGACCACAGCCTAATCCAATCCACAATGGTTATCAAGATCGCCTCCAAGTGCAGACTCCAAGGAAGAAAGACAAGGTGCAAAATGAACACCCAAGCCCTTCAGGAGCCCTCCAAACAAGCCCTTCTCCAAACAGCACTCAAGGACCATCTAACCACAGAACACCCTGAAAATGTTGAGGAACATTGGAACAAACTGAAGACCTCCATCATCACAGCCTACGAAGAAACTATTGGATATTATACCAAGAAACATCAAGATTGGTTTGACAAAAATGACAACGAAATCCAACAGCTAATTGACAAGAAAAGGAAAGCCTTCCAAACATGGCAGAGAGACATCAACTGTGCTGCTAAGAAAAAGATCTACGCCAGTGCAAAAGTTGAGGTCCAAAGAAGGACAAGAGAACTCAACAGCATCTGGTGGCCAAACAAGGCTGAAGAAATCCAACACCTGGCAGATACCCATGATGCTCAGGGATTTTTCAAAGCCACAAAGGTCATCTATGGACCAAGAAACCATGGCATACAGCCTCTCCACTCATCAGATGGAACCAAACTCCTGAAGGACCAAAAATCAATTGCACTATGTTGGAAAGAACACTACCAAAGCCTCCTGAACTGCAGCTCCAATGTGGCCGAAGAGGTTCTCTCACAAATCCCGCAACAACAAACCAGGGATGAGTTTGCAGCACTGCCTAGTTTGGAAGAAGTCAACAATGCCACCAGCCAACAAAAAAATAACAAAGCCAGCGGACCTGATGGGATCCCTGCTGAAATCTTTCAAGAGGGAGGACCTGAGCTGGCACAACAACTCCACCGGCTCAAGTGTGGGTGACCAAGAAAATCCCAGCAGATTTCAAGGATGCCACCATCACACCCTCTTCAAAAAAGACTGCGGAAACTATCGAGGTATCTCCCTTCTAACCTCAGCTGGGAAAATCCTCGCAAGAATCCTTGCAAACTGCCCTCTGCCCCTCTCAGAAGACACCCTACCAGAATCCCAGAGCGGCTTCCGCCCCTCCAGAGGAACAGTGGACATGATCTTCACTGCACGACAGCTCTAAGAAAAATACAGGGAACAAAATCAACCTCTGTACATGGCATTCATTGACCTTGCAAAGGCATTCGGCACAGTGAATCACAGTGCTCTCTGGACCATCCTCCAAAAATTCGGGTGCCCTAACAAATTTGTGAACATCCTGCAGCTCCTCCATGATGACATGATGGCAACTGTCTTGGACAGCAATGGCTCCCAAAGTGACCCATTTAAGGTGGAAATCAGGTGTCAAACATGGATGTGTTATTGCCCCAACTTTTTTCTCCATCTTCATTGCTATGATACTTCATCTTGTTGATAGGAAGCTTCCCGAGTGGAAATCAGACAGATGGCAAGCTGTTTAACCTCAGCAGACTGAAAGCCAAAACCAAGGTTACAACATCTGTTATAGAACTCCAGTATGCTGAAAGCAATGTTGTCTGTGCGCATTCAGAAGAAGATCTACAAGCCACTCTAAACACCTTTGCAGAAGCATACAAGAAGCTCGGCCTGTC